TATTTAGTTGCATATTGTACTTGCTTACATTTAATAATAAAATTTCCTCATTGTTTTGTTTGTTTTGTCTCTGAATGTGTCTACGCATGCCTAAAGACATATAGACAACATTTATCTACAAAACAATCTTATGGGCTTAATTGTCAATTTGATCCTTAGCTTATTTAAGTTTTAAATTTGGTATTGTAGTATGATTAGTGGGGGTCTTGAATTGAATATCGATTCTATGACTGTATTTCTCTGCTACAATTTCGGTTTAGAACTAAAATGAGTATTAAAATCTGATCAGACTTATCTAATACTCATCATAAATGATTACTCGGCCAAGTGGGAGAATGTTGGACACGTTTTTATTATGTGGCCTGAGTTATCATTTATCTAATTAATTGATCATTGACCTAATAAATACCCTACGTATTTATTTGGTAATTATTCGATGGACGTAATTACCCTTATGACCTAATTAGGGTTTCCCCTTGGGCGTATATAAATAGAGGTCATTAGGTAGAGATCGACACACCAATCTTACGCCTCCTCTCTGCCTCTCTATTCTCGTGAGTCTCATCCTCACCTTAGCCATCATAACGATACACCCTAAACGGGAACTCAATCTGCGTGAGAATCATGGCCTCATCCCTAACTGCGTTTACAGGATTATCAGGTACACATGATTAAATCCCTAATTTATATTTTATATTTGAGAATTGATCAACAAGCAGGTCGGCCCGGAATGGATTATTGAACTTGAGTCGGCTTGGCCGGGCAAAATGTGGAGTAAAATACTTTTTCCGTCCCATATTGGCATTTTTTCATGGCTTATATGATAAAATAAAATATTCTTGTTATCACTTACTACTTCTGTCCCACTCTCTTTGTCCACTTTTGACTTTTGGAACTGTTCATCTAAGTACTTTGACTCATCAAATTCTCTCAATGTGTAAGCCTAAATATAGTCATGTATAATCTTGTTTGATTTGTCTTAACATATAGATTATTAATATATAATTTCTATAATTTTTTAATATACAAATTACAAGATAAAATAGATTAAAGAAGTGCATTGGATGGTGTGCCAAAAGGTAAGTGGACAAAGAGAGTGGGACGGAGGGAGTATTTTGTATAACTTTTTTTGAATATGCAAATTTCTTTTTTATTTCTATGACAATATTTCAATAAAATATATTGAAAAAATCTGGATTTTTCCTTCGATTTGCACAATGCAAAGAAAGATTTGAGGCGTAAGGAGTAGAAACACGAGTAAGATCTCAAAATGACATTATCTAATAAAGTGTTTTTCCAAATTAACCATCTAAGGTTATAATTTTAATCTCACTCGAATTGCCTGAGGACTATCGAGAGAAAAATCATATTTATAAGGACTATTTAAAAAAATATTTCAATTATAAAACACCATATAAATTATTATGATTTATCGGTGGGGTTCTAGTGACACCGGAGTACGGTGACACTCCGGTGCCACTGTCATTTTGGTGTACTTCCGGTGCTCCGTTCGTAAAATTGACGGTTCCTACCCTCCACCCTACCTCGCCCCCACCCCTGCACCCCCACCCCAACCCCGCCGTAAGCCCCCCATAAAATGTGTGCCTGTTATGCATTGCATATAAAATTCTATGGACCGTTCTTGTAACTATGGTAACTATAGAAAAAATTTAAGTTTTCCTAAATTGAAGTAGTTGAAATCTTACTCATTATGATCCACAATGTTTGAAGAAAGACTTAGCAGATTAGCATTTAGCAATGATAAATTATAGCTATTGAGATTGAAACTTTAGAGAATAGAGAGTATATAGATGGTGAAGATGCGATCAACCAATTTCCTTTGACGAATATTATCAGTACTTTACGAATCCATCAATTAGTTATTGCAATATATAATTATAATACTATGATTTAGTAATCTTGTTATAATATAATAACATTATTAAATTTCATTTTGATAGAATTTAGGATGGGTATGGACAACTGAATTGGGCTATAAGATACTTGGGCTGAACAACATTAAAAGATTGAATCCAATCGATTACTTAGTTCAAACGAGGTGGGCTAAAACCTGCTCTGATACCATGATAGAATATAGGATGGGTATGGACAACTAGATTAAGCTATAAGACACTTGGGATGGGTAAACAAATTAATTGGATTGAGTTTTTTTTATCATTAATTACCTCTCAATATATCAAAAATTGCGTGATATCACCCCGAATATTAAAATTTGCACCAGTATCCCTAAATATTTCATAATATTGCACCAACAGTCCTTCTGTGCTAGATTTAGGATCGTATTAATTAAACACTCATCAATATACATATTGGAATTTGATGAAGATGTCATAGATTAATAAAGAGGTTGATCAATTAACGAAGATCTTTATTGACTGATTTCCAAATTCCAACCTTGAATTTCAGTTACTGACGACTATTACAAAACTCACCTATGATATATGACTTTAGATGAATTCATACTTGTTCGACATGAGCGCACGATAATATTAGCGCACGCCTAAATCTAGCACAAAAGGACTAATGGTGCAACCTTTTTTAAAGTTCAGGAAGCATTGGTGTAAGTTTTTAAGTTTAAACAGAATTCGTGCAATTTTTGAAATGTTCAAGTGTAAGTGATGCAAAAAAAACTCAACTGGTTAGTTTGTAGTTTGTACCCATCAAATTAAACTGGGGTAATGAGTTGTATACACCCATCAAATTTAATGTTAGAATGCAGAGAAAATCAATTCAAATTCTATTTTTGGATGTTGAGACAATGAAACAAAGAGTAAAGTAGGGGAAATAGGGATGGCTAAAGAAAGAAATGGGATGGGCAAAGAAATGAATGCCAATGGGAGTATAAGATGTATCTTACATTGTTGCATCATACTCCCTCCGTCCCAAAATATTCACAACATTTGCTTTTTCAGCAGTGTCGGGAACTTTTGTTTATTTCAACGTTTTCATTGATTATTTGATAAAATAAAATATTCTTGACACCTCTTATTTCGAAGAACTTTTCATGTAGTTTTTTTATATGTAAATTTTATTTTTTATTTCTTTACCAATATGTAAATAAAATGAATTGAAAAAACTTGATATTTTGCCTCAGAAATACAAATGTTGCAAATAATTTGGGACGGAGGGAGTAAGTAATAACCCCATTTCCCATCCATCAATACGCTGCCAAATTTCCAAAAGCAGGTCTGGTCCTCCATTTCTAAAAAGTGAAAACATTTGTCCGAAAGTTATTTTGAGCTAGCCACTTTAAAGAAACTGTCCTATTTTAAATTTAGGGTTAATTTTTATTTTTGGTTATCAATTAGTTAAAACTTTGACTACTAAAATATTTATTTATACATTCAAAAAATTAATTTAAAAAAATATCATAGCAATGAACATGTGAAATAAATAGGCCATGTATTATGGCTAAATCCACCTATTTATGATTAAATGGACAATTTTGTCTTTTAAAATAGATAAATTGGATATTAAAACCAATTTTTACAGATAAACGTATCCATTTAACATAAATAAGGTGAATTTAGCCATATTATGGGTGGGTATCATTGTTTGGATAAAAATTTGATTTATTTAAGAAATATGGTGTCATTGAAAAGAAAATATAAAATTACTAAAGATTTCATAAATAGTAATCATTTCATAAATATTTAAGGATTTCATTCCTTAAATACTCTACATTGATTTATGAAATATTAGTTATACTTTGACTCGAATACAACTACAATTCATCGATGGGGATGAAATACCATTGTTCATCCATATATAACATTTTCAATTTCATAATGGATTAATTAATATTATTCACGCACACAGGGATAGATTATTTCTTTCCGTATAAGATGGATAGATTATTTATTTACGCTAGCGTTCTATAACATTTTACCATCTATGTGTAAAAATAAGCTATCTTTAAGTTGTACTCCCTCCGTCCCAAAAAGATTTACACCTTTCAAAAAAATTTTGTCCCACAATCTCCTACCCATTTCTATTAAAAAACCACTTTTACGCCTTACTTTTTCAAACCCTACCTATCACATCATACCTTTTTCCTAATAATCTACATATCACATCCTACTTTTACCCATCACATCAAGGGTATTTTTGGAAAGTCAAACAAAATTATCCCTCCCTTAATTTCTACTTTAGTCAAAATGGGTAACACTTTATGGGACGGATGGAGTATTTGGTTGGGTGTAAAATATTTTCGATGAATGAAAATATTTTCCAAAGAAAATATTTTTCAATCATATTTTTCATTGTTTAGTAGGAGGGAGGAAAAAAAATTTCAAAAAATTATTTCTATTATTACTCCATTTGTTTTTCAAAAGAATTCTTCTTTCACTTTTTTCGCTCCTCCAAAACCTTCTATTTTTGTAAATTTAAAATTTAAATTAAAAAAACTAATAATTCAAACTAAAAATAAAATTTAGGGTTTAAAATTTAAAATCTAAACTTTAAAATTTAGAATTTTATAATGAAAATTTTTTAAAAAATTAATATATAAATGTAAAATTTAGAATTTAAATTTAAAATTTAAAATATAAATTTAAAATTTAAAATTTAAAATCTAAAATTTAAAACTTACGATTTAAAATTTAAAGCTTTAGATTTAAAACTTAAAATGTAAAACTTAAGATTTAAAATGTAAAACTTAAGATTTAAATTTTAAATTTTAAAATTCAAAACCTAGATTTTAAAATTAAAAATTTAGAACTAAAAATTTAATATTTAAAATTTAAATTTTCAATTTTAAAATTTAAAATTTTCAATTTGAAATATAAAATTAAAAATTAAAAATCAAAATTTTAAAATTAAAAATTAAAATTTAAAATTTAAAATATAGAATTTAAAATTTAACATTTATCATTTAACATTTAAAATTCAAAATTTACTATTTGGAATTTGAATTTTGAATTTTAGCATAACACTCTCAAAAAATAGTACGGAGTATTTATCTAAAGAGTATATATCTCTTTCATAACACTCTCAAAATCTTCCTCAATTGTGGTAGAAGCTGCAGTTCTAAAGAGTTCTTTGAGCTCCAGACTTGACCATTTTTTTCTGAAATTCTCATACATGTGCCTTCTGGAACACCTCTAGTGAGCCTTTTTTATTATCACTGGTGTAGCATATATACTTTCTTCTCAATAGGATCACCAATAACAACAGCATGGAGGTGATTTAAAAACTAGTTCCACTTTGGATAATTCTCTACAGGTACTACAGCAAGAGCAATTGGAAACATGTTGTCATTTCCATCCCTTGCCACTGCACACAGCAACTGTCCTCCAAAGTGTGCCTTTAAAAAGCATCCATCAATTCCAATGATAGGCCTGCAACCTGCTAAGAACCCAGATATAAGAGCATCATATGTAAAAAAAAACATCTCAAACACAGGGATATTGTTCTTGTTTAGATGGCATCCAATCTTGAAATATGCTCAAAGCCACTTTGATTATGCTTTATCAAAGTGAAACAATAATCTCAGAGCTTGGTGTATTGCACTCCAGCATCTCCATGGATTAGTCTGAATGCTTCTCTCCTAGTCCTTTGTGCCTTGTGTACCCTGCAATTTTCTTTGATATTTGAAAACAATCTAGTCAAGGTTCCACAGGTACATCCTTGACATGCTTGATCCTGTGACTTTAATACTTGTAGGTAACTGCTGTGTTGTCAAACTTCCACTCACCATGTCTGAAATGTATGACCACCTTGGAGGCTTGGACCCATGATGCTCTTACTCTTCAATTGTCACAGTTCCGGCACTTGACTATGACTGTTCTGGTCATTCTTCTTATACTCAAGCTGAATTCACGTCTCACTGAGTAATTTCTAATGACCATCTTGTACTCATTGCCATTCTTGAAATTCAACGAAGGTGCTAGTACAAACTTTTCCATCTCAGAATCGGACCAGAACTTTAGACATTTGTGATCATCTACACAGCTTATGTCTTCATCCTCCACATCATTAAACGCACCTTCATTCTCAAAATTACCTCTATCATTGGCAGAATGGTAGCACCATTTTTCATCTTCTTGTCCTTTTTTCCACCTAACTTCCTCATTTTTTAGCAAGCATAACTTCACCTTATTGCTCATTTGATCATCATTGTTGTCAAATAAGCCCACCTTATCACACAAATTCAGGTCCTCAAAAAAAAAATATGACAAATCCAGGTTCTCACAAAAATGACAAATTCAGGTCCTCAAAAAAAAATCAGGAACTCACTTCTCTGCCTCGAGAGGTTGTACACCATTTGCATCATCTGTTTCACCATTTTCATTACCCACTTCAACATGAAATACCCTCTCTTCCTCCTCATTATTACCAACACCATTACCATACCCAACACCATTATCATTCACAACAGAATTATGCATAACAGATTGGTCATTCATGTTAGTTCTATCATATGTGTCCTATGAGTTGGCATTATTTTTGACAACACACAACCACTAGCATAGAATAGGTGTAGTGTCCTTATGATAGTAGAACTGGTCATCCTACATGTAAACCTGCCAAAACTAGGATGCTACGGAGGAAGGTATCAGCTCAGAACGGCAGAAGCTTTAGGGAGTTAGGATTCCAAAATCAAAATTAAAAGTGTAAAATAAAGAATTGGGGAAGACAAGAAAAATTTACAGAGAAAAGGGGAAGGGAAAATGACGCCGTTTTGATGCTAATTATGAAAAAAATTGACAGCGAAAAATACGAGCTGGGAATCGAACCTCCGTCCTAGGGGAGCAGGGGTTAGGCGTATCAATGCACACTTCCACTGAACCAAACGCGCTTCTATTTAACATATGACAAGCGTTTTTTATATATTAATATTTATACATACCTAATACCTATATGGACCTACACCGGGGTCCGTGGGGTCCCGGGACCCCATAGGACTCAAGGTGGGTCCGCCTCTGAGTATACGAATGATTCTTATAATGTTACAAAAATAAAAATAAAAATAATTATACCGTGATGTGTTGGATCGGGGTCTTGGGGTGCCAGGGATCGGTGTGACACTTTTTATAAAATTCCAAAAGTCGTCGCCAATTCTTACTCCGCTCCCTCCATCTCCAAATAAACATGACACATGCATAACGACGCTTGAATGAAGTTATTATTTAATTTAGTCTATTTAAATATTGGAGTAAATTTATAAGTAAAAAATATATACGCCATTTGTCCCCAAAAAATGTCCTTGTTACAATTCAGGTTTTCGGATAATTTTTTTGTGTGTATGATTTTTCATACTTTGTTGTTAAGATAAAATATTCTTGTTACCCCTTGTTATGTAGAATTTTTAATCAATCTCAATCCTATACTTAAAAGCAGGGGAAATAGCACCCACCTCTTTTCCCGCCCAAAGGCACAACAATTTGGTCCGTCCATTCATGATGATCAACGGCTGAAAATAACTCATTTAAAGAAATAAATATTTTAGTGAAAACTGCACATCTAAAAATGGTAATTTAAATAATCAACCGAGTTATATCCATTTTTTGTGCTTCCATACAATAAATAGTTTTTAAACTTATTTTAGGAAAATGATATATATGGCGATATGACGGGGTATTAATACTATTTATAAAAATAATTTGATTATTATTATTATCATTATAAAAGAATAATAGAATATTTTCTATAAGAATAATTTATATAAAATAATATATTCTTTTATCATTATAAAAAATATATTTTTGGAAATTTTGTGCCTTTACTAATATGATGAGGATTATACCTTTCGTGTAATATATCCATTTAAATTACTACCTTTGGTGTCATATATCCATAAATGGAAATAATATTGTTTGCCTTTTCTTACTAATTTATATGGAAATATTTGTTAGAAATTTTGTGCCTTTAATATATTCTTTTCTGAAATAAAAAAATGTTTATATAATTTTTATACGTTTTATAGTTTTGTTTCCTTTTTTCGAAAATAAATATTTGTATAAATAGAGAATCGTCTAAAAATGAAAATAAAATAATCGACCGAGTTATATCCATTTTTTCGTGCTTCCATACAATAAATAACATTGAAACTTATTTTAGGAAAATATTATATATGGACATAGGATGGGGTATTAATACTATTTATAAATAATAATAATAATAATAATAATAATAATATATTCGGAAATATTATCAGAAATTTTGATCCTTTAAGGTAATTTCGTGTAATATATTCATTTATATCACTACCTTTCGTGTCATATATCCATACATTGAAAAAATATTTTTTTTCCTTTTTCTTACTAATTTATATGGAAATATTTGTTAGAAATTTTGTGCCTTTAATATATCCTTTTCTGTAATCAACAAATATTTATTTAATTTCGACAAGGTTGAGAACTCGAAGTCTAATTCGAATTTCTTGAATGACTTACATACTCTCGAGTTCTTAAATAAGATTCGTGCTTCTGAAGTATCAAATCATGAGTTCCTTTTGAATGTAACTCGGTGGGCTAATCACTCAACACAAGGAAAGATATTATCCAGAAGACACATCATATTCCAAGAAATTGTAATTCCTCAACTCGGTGGGCTAAGAAATTGTAATTCCAAGACTATCATTGACACCATCTGATGCCAAAATTCCATTCAAGTTTCAAAGAAGACAATTTAATTTTGTTACTTTATATGCAATGGCGACTAATAAGAGTCAAGGTCAATCTCTAAAACATGTGGGAATATTGTTATGGAAACCTGTATTTAGTCATGGATAACTATATATTGTTGTTTCAAAGGTAACAAATCATAATGACTTGAAGATTTTGATATATGACATAGAGGATGTTACCACAAATTATACCAATAATTTAGTGTATAAAGAAGTTTTGTGAAATTTGTAAGTCATAGGATATTCATGATTTAAAATTATGAAAAATATTATATTTCATCATATCGTGTATTTCTTTTCCTTCAATAGTGACACCAATATATATTGATAACGTAAATACGAGCCGTGCAACGCGCGGGTGTGATGCTAGTGTTGTTCAAAATATGTGATTTGTACTTTTTATTTCCTTACCAAATTGTAAATAAAATTAATTTAAGTAAGACAATATTTTGCACGTTGTTTGAAAGAGAACAATTTTAAAGGACGGAGGGAGTATCTAAAAGTGTATCAAATCTTCTTCAAAATAAAAGATAACATAAATATATTATTTTAACAAATGATCAATAAAAATATATAAACTACAAAGAAAGAAAATATAGTATGATCTCTAAACAGTAAGGGTAAAGTTTATTTGGAAATGGATGGAGTATTTTTTACTCAGCAATATGCTCTTACTCTTTAAACTCACAAACAAATTATTTCTCTGATTTTATATCGTTTATAAATATGTACTCCCTCCCTCCCCGTCCAAATATGATTTTATTGATCATTTGTTAAAGTAAAATATTTGTTACCTCTTCTTTTGTAGAATTTTTAGGGTCCGTTTGGTATACGGAATTGATGGAATTGGAATTGAATTGGAGTTGGAATTCCATGGAATTCAATTCAATAGAATTGAATTCACCAATTCCAGTTCATTTTTTGCACTATCAATTCCAAATCCACATACTTTTTGTGCTACCAAACACAAGAATTGGAATTGAAGTCCTCAATTCCAATTCCAAAGTTTGAATTCCATGTACCAAACGTGGCCTTAATGTACTTTTGAACAATATAATTTGTACTTTTTATTTATTATTTATATACCAATTTTTAATCGAAATGATTTAAAAAGTGATCTAATTTTGCACGTTGTTAGACATTCAATTTGAGACGGAGGTATATTAATAAGTATAAAGTGTATGTGTTTCAATTCAACTAAACGTTTTAGCTAGTAGTTGCAAGACAAATTTTCTTTTGCACTTTAACATGAGGCGATCCCGGCCATGTGCAAAATTTAGTAAATGCTTATAGTCATGTCACCTCTTGTTTCATAAAACTTTTCATGTAGTTTTTAAATATGTAATTTTTATTCTTAAATTTCATCCCAATTCTCAAATAAATTATTTTGAATATAATTTCAGGCAAACTGAATCATGCAATTTAAATTAGGAGGAGAAGATAAATCGTTTGGAAACATTTGAAAAACATGAGTAGAAACTGGAAAACATGAATACCGAATTACATAAAAAGAGAAAGCGTTTGGAAACATTTGAAAAACATGTCTTTTGTTTGGAAAAATTCAGCAAAGCCGACGCTCACCATATCCTTTCCAATTAGAGAACCATAAATTTCTAATCCCTAATTAGTAATCGACCTCACCATATCATTTCCAATTTGACAATTTCCATTATTCCATGAATTATTTGAATCCATTAGAAATGTATTTTTTCAAAAGAGGGAAATTGAAAACAAAACTGATTTTTTAATTAAATTTCAATATATTGTCATTCTAAAAAAAACTTAAAAATTACGGAGTAAAATCCAAAGAAGAATAAGAAATCGCTCAATTCAGACAATTAAAGTTTTAAAAAAAACTGTCAAGTATATAAAGGATGAAAATTGAAAAGGGGAATAGAATTAGGGGTTAAATCATTACCTGAACTACTGTCTATTGGCGGGCGGAGCCGTAGATGCTAGAGGCAGACGGTAGTGACGCTCTTCGGCGTCGCTCTTCAGAGATCGGAGGTCACGACTCCGTCCGAACGGCGATTCGCCCCTTCCGGTATTATTCAGAGTTCGGATGGCCATACTGTATTCAGAGTTCGGATGGCCATACTTAATACCCCGGAGTACTACCTATTTTGGATAATGCTCGAGGGACCACAAGATTTGAATTTCAATTTTAATTACTCCGTATTTCTTATCTATACATTATTTAAAAAGACATTAATTTTTTCCCGTCCATGCATGACACTCATATATGGAAAGTGTTGACAACATAAATGGTAGTTTAATTATTTTACATTAATGTTTTCCTTCCATTTTAAGTATGTTTTTATTTTTATTTTTATTTAAATGTTACACCATTTAAGCATTTAAATTAAATTAAATTAAATAGTAATGAAGCATTGGGGAATTGAAGTATGGAAATAAAATACATTGCCATTTAAATATTAAAATAAAATTTAAAAATTACAAATTAATAAAGTATGGGCAGGATTAAAATGATTTATTTCAAAGAAACTACAAATTAAATACTCCGTATTTATCATTAAAAAATATTATAATTTACAAGCACAAACGCGTAAAAATGGTAAGTTTTCTAAAATATATTAGAAAATAATTATGAAACGTAGACCCGATCACGGGCCTGGGTATCCGGCCCGCCCGCAAAATAGCGGGCTTGGGCTTGACATTTTAGGGTACGGGCCGGGCTTGGGCCTTATAAATGGCGGCCCAAAGATTTTAGGGCCGGGCTCGGGTTTATGCTCAAGCGTATGGGCCGGGCCGGCCCGAATAAATTAAAATATTTATTATTAATATAATTATAATAAAATAACAATAACAACATTAATAATAATAATAATAATAAAGAACAAACCTATATCAAATTATTATAAACACACATACATACTTCTATGGAGAGAAAAAATAAACTATACGTTTATATAATAAAATGAATACATCTTTACTACTCCTTATTGTTTACATCTTTATATAATAAAATGAATACATCACACATTGATTATGACATTCCAATAGATAATATTTTGTACTCCATACATAGTAGCAATATCAAACAAAATATATTTATATATTAATTTTTCTTTCATTACTCATAATAGTTTTTATATCAAATATCTAATATATTAACTTGTTACTTTATTTTTTAAAAAAAAATTATTTTTTAAATTATTTAGAAGTTTTTGTCAGTTGGGCCGGGCCGGCCCGAAGCCCGCGGGTAACCATGCGGGCCGGGCTCGGGCTTCAATTGTTAGGCCCGTTATACGGGCCGGGCCGGGCTCGGGCCTAGGAAATTCTCGTAAAGTAGTGTCTCGGCCTGGCCCGAAACCCGCCCCGGCCCGAACTTTGATCAGGTCTAATGGTACGGTAAGTATACAATAACATTTAAATAAAAGAATAAAATAAAAAACTACAAATTAATATTAATACTATAATTTAAAAGAATGGAAACGTTTTAAAATGACAAATGTTCTAATTAAAAAATTAGAAAATAAATAGATATGGTATGTTAAGCAATTAGCACCATTTAAAAACGAAAATAAAATAAATGGTAAGTTTTTTAAAATAAATTAGGTCAAGTGTTCTAAAATAAAAGAGAAAATAAAATACTCACTCAGTCCCCAATTTCATTACAAATTGCGGGTTACGGAGTAAAATTTCTTACTTTTTGAAATCATTTTATTTACAAATTGATATATCAATAAGATCTAAAAATTACATATTAAACAACTACGTCAAAAGTTCTACAAAACAATAAGTGATAAGAATATTTTATTTTATCAAATACTTAATGAAATTGCGTAAACAAACAAAAGTTATCAAGAGGAGAGAAAAAAATTGTAATCCATTTAGGGACAAAGAGAGTATATCTAAAAATGATAAGTGTTCTAAAATAAATTA